GAAGGTGGAACTTAGAACTCTCAGCTTTGTCCCAGCGCCCAGTGGGCCACACTCAGGGCCAAGCCCTGGAGCTCTGCAGCACTGGCCCTGGGTGTGCTTGTTTGGACAGCACAAGGAACTAGAAACTCTGGATCCCCTCACCCTCTGAGCTTCTCCATATAAAATACAAAAGGCCAAGTTGCATTTGAATTTCACATATTTTCAGTTAGCGAATACATTCATTTGCTAATTCTGGCCTCCCTATTAGACCTCAGTCTCCTCTTAAGCAAAATGTGGCTAACAATGGTGCCTACCTCTTGGGCTGGCTTCAAACCTGGTGTGTATGAGTATGTATTTTATTTTACATGGTAACGCTAGTTAGGTAACCTGTCCAAGGTTATGCTCAAGTATTAGAGCTAGTTTTCTGATCCCAGAGCCCTGTCTTTCTTACTGTCTCAGTCAAGATGACATCTGTGGCTAAGAACCCCTAAGGCGTAGAGTAGCCCATAATAATATTAACCATTATGTTGAAAATACAAATACAGTTTCCATATGCTAATTTTTTGTTATTAATAAACTTCAAGAAGTGTGCTATGTCTGTCCTTATACGTATATTTAAGGCTAAAGATAAAATTTAGGGAGATAGAAATTTCTCATCATTTTCCTACTAAATCTATTTTTTAAGTCATGAATTCAAACATATTACTAAAAGTTGAACTTTGATATCTGCCACTCTTTCAAAGTGGGCTCTAGAGAAACTAACAAATGCATAAAAATTAAACTCAAGTATTTAATTTTCTCCCCCATCGTTCAATGTCTTCCTCTTGCCTTCATAGTGACACCCAAATGTCTCTGCCCAGTGTTCACAGCTCTCCAGATCTGATTGAGACAAATTTCCAGCCTCGGCTCCTATTAACTCTCAGTGCTGAGCTCCGCCCTAGAGCCCTTGTCATTCCTCAACTTTATGATACAGTTTCTGCTCCAGTATCTGTCTTTTTCTTAGAGTCCTTTAATCCTGGAAAGCATTTTTCATATCTCAACCACGGGAAATCTTTATCTCCAGTTCAAACACCCAGTTCTTTTATGACACAATCTTTATCTCCTCAGCTAACTGGCCCTTTGGCTGATTTTTCTATTACACAACTTAGCATCATTTCCTTGCAATTGCATTACACTCCTCTCCCTGACTAAAATTTAGTTGCCTGTGGTCAGGGCTTCTTTGTCTTACTCTTATCCACATCTGACCTAGTACCCAAAATGGTGCCTTTCCCAAATATTTATTCCTTAACAAAATATCTGTTGAACCAATTTTAGTCCAAAAACACATGGGAATAGTGCTCTTAAACTTGCAGTGCTATTAGCTGAAATTTTGTGAAGCCCCCAGATCAGGCTAAGTTGCTTTGGGCATGTTCACAATGACTAGCAGTTATGTTTTCAGCATTTGAAAATAACTTTTTCCCATATACATTCATTTTAGAAAATTTGTGAGGACATAAACAAAGGAAAAAAGTCATGAGTAAACTACCTTCCAAGGGCAGATGCTGCTGCTCTTTTTTTTTTAATACAGAAATACTTTTTGTTTTTCTTGGAAATTCTCAACAAGGGCAACATGGAAATGTAGACAAAGGCAAATGGGAGAACACAACTGGGTTTGAACCCCCAGACCCTGCGCTTCATGGTTATGTGACACTGGGAGAGCTACTGCATCCCTCTGAGGCCCAGTTTCTCCTCTGAAAAGTAGAAATATTCATACCATGTTTTATTCCTACAAGGGTTTGGAAATATCAAGTTACAAAACACTGGACAGTATTCTGTAAGTTAGAAAATACTGCATGCCTGGTTTTATGAGTATGTTAACTGAACAGGAGATGACTCCATGGATAGACGGAGTGATGAGGTTGAATCCTAAGTTCAGTTTGGATTTCTGCCCAGCTCAGTTACCTAAGTCACAAATAACCTTCACTTCGCTAAAGGAAAAGGAACTAATTTTTATCGAGCACTGACTGCATGCCGGGTTCTGTGCTGTCTCCCTTACTCTTGTCTTCCCACATCACTGCATAATACTCTTCCACACATGAGAATGACTGAGATACAGAGAACAAAGCCACTGGTATTGCAAGATTAAAACCAAGGTGGGTTTGATTTCAAATCCAATGTTCTATTTTCATTATAGTAGGAGACACCTTTTGGGGAAAGTATTTTTATGGAAGTCCTCTATTCTTACAGAAACTTCCAGAGTGATTGAAGAGTAGTATTTGATTAGATACATGAATTATTTTGATATCAATACCCTTAGGAGAGTTAAAAGAAGTTGTAATTATTTCATCTTAGAGGAAAGAGTGGGCTAATTTAAAAGGCATTTGCAAGCCCACGAAAGGGAACAAATGGTGAATATCGACCTCTTGCATGTAATTTACCTAAGACCATCTTTAAGTGTAATGAGGAAGTTTTCACAGCATGGCTTCTTCAGATCTAAAAAGAGCTGAGGGAAACTACAGAATGTCCTTCTTAATAGAATAATTGTTTTCAACAGGTAGACTTATCTTTTTAGTACTTATTAATAGTCGTATTTGGAGGAGGAAAACTAGACTCAATCAGGGATGTGTATTCAAGTAAACAAGAAGAGAAAAATATCGTTATAAATTCTGCTGAAACTGTGATTAAAATAAATGGTATTACAGCACAGAGGATCTAAAATGATATTACAGTACAGAGACACATGAGGGTGCTCTAACCAGCTGCTACAATAAATAAACTGTTCAAATATTGGGGAAAATTTAAGGCCTATTGTGAATGGAAGTGTTGAAGTCTCATTTTTAGTATTGGCTAAACAGAACAGACTTGGAAAAGATGGTTTTTCTTTTAAATAAAATGTATTGGTCTCTCCCAACCCTCCTAGTTTAAAAAGTAGATGTTCGTATTGGCCAATTTGGAAGATACTGAAAAGCCCAAAGAAAAAGAAGAAAGTGGACTGATATTACTGTCAGCCCTGGGAGGATGGGGTTTTCTAGAACCAGGCCAGTTGGAGGCTTAGCTTAGGAGGCCTGCCTTCAAACACAAGCCCAGCCTGTTCTCATTTTGATTTCACAGACCTTCTGCTGGTACGAAGGGGGAGTAGAGACTGAGGGTCTAATGACCGCAAGAAGAGAATTAGAGACGCATGTTTATCTCAATACATTTACTCTCATTAAAGTTCATATTCACTGACATCATGCATCTCCTTGAAAAAGTCTGCCCACCCACCATTAATTAAAGCCACATTTTAAAAAGTCAGTGTGTGCACTTTTATTCCAATCAAAAGTAGCCTCCTAAGTTTTGCAGAGTAGGCAGGAGAATATCTGAGGCCTGACAGCTGTTCACCTCTACACAGTGAAGAATCATGTGATTTACATTAAAAGTCATGTTTATTCAGGGCCTAAAATATCATAGTTAAGATCTATTGTCTTGAAGAGTTGAAACATTCATTATCTAATGACCTATTTAGCAAAATTAACATTTATTTTGATAAGCCAACATTCTTTTGGATACAAAGTATGATCATATGCCTTTATCTTTCCAAATAGAGAAATATAACTGGACACCCTGTTTGAAAAGTTAAGGCAGCACACTCCTATCAAAGACACCACACTTTATAACTTATATGTGCAATATCAATGTTAAAACAAAGGTCAATGTGGTTTTTTTTTTTAATCTAAATCATTGCACAAGCAGTAATTACCAATAGTTGGAGGATTGCACAACTGTAGTCTATATTCTTGGCAGTGGTCACTGTAAGTTCATAAATTCATGAAAATAAGGAATGTTGATCTTTAAAGTTCAAGAAAGGTATTATTTGTAAACAGCTCAGGTCACACTCATCTTATTCTATGTGCTAAGAAAGAATTCTTTCCTTCCAACTTCCTTTAAACAAGGTTCGTTCTCTCCAGGATCCTAGTAAAAGGGTTTTCATCCAAACAGATCTGCATTCTTTTCTATTTTTTTTTCCTATTAAAGCCTCCCTGGGGACCTTTCAATTTTATGCTGATCTTTCTTTATATATTAATATCAAGCACATTTTTATGTTATGTCGATAAAAGACAAATTATGGCTATCTCTTCCTATTGGCAATTAGATTATTCTAGAATCATTCTGATCGAATATTTGATTAGCCCAGCCAGTTTACACTTTCTATGCAAAGGCATCGAGTGCAGCATTCAGATTCTCTAGTTACTCTGGTCATGCCACCATATGGAAAGACATGGATCATCATTGAAGCTGAACATCGGCCTGAAATGGTTTAATCCTAAATCAAAGCACCCCAGACTAGGAGTCGAAACCTGACTTCTTGTCCTCACTTTTCTACTGACTCACTACGTGACCTTGAAGACTTTGTGTGACTCAGTGTCCTCATCTAACAAGTGGAGGTTAGCAGGTGCATACTGACCCACAACCCAGGAGGTTAGGTAATTAGGATGAGAGGACAGGGGACTGGAGTACACTTTTGTGGCCATGTCTTCCCCTGGTCTACTTACTCATTCAATGTCAGAAATCGTGAGGAAGAGCTGGCTTGGTCTGATTCTAAAAGAGAGCATCCTTGAATCTAGAAGCCAACAAACCATACCTGGTGAGTTGCTTTCATGAAAAGTTTGGGAAAAGATGCTCTGGGTCTTGATCTCCCTTAGATATAAGCATCCAACACAACATTCCTACGTGGGATGAAGCACTATCTTAACACACAGACTGTATCTTCTGCCCAGATGATACAGTATCCACAGGGACCATAAAACACTTGACTCAACACAAGCCAAAAGCAGTGGGTGGACTCCTTCAGCTCAGCTGTGGAAAGGAAGGTGGAGTGTGGATGAGGATATTTCAACCCAGTCAGTGGTATTCTTTAGAACAAACAGCTATGGGCTGGGGAACAGTGGAAAGTTGTGACTTTACTGCATTTTATCAACTCTAGGAAGATTTAAGATAAGCTCTGCTTAAGCGATTCATAAAGCCATGAAGTCTACAAAATGAGCACTCGTGCATTTCCATACCTTCCTGCCAGCTCGGTTGTTATGAAGATTCATCAGAGCTCTGGCATCCTTTCCTTTTCTTTCCTTGGCATCCACAAAGGCTCGGGCAAATTTGATCCCATAGTCAATGTTATCACTGCAGCCACCCCAGTCGAAAGTGCCCTTGCTGTCCTTGGCGGTTCCCTTCTTCTTTGGATCACAGGAACAGGATTTTAATTCTCCTTGGCTACAGGCCCTGGTGATGGCAAATACAACTCCAGCTGAGGAGATGGCGTAAACAAAGGCAGATTCCCGACTACCTGAAACAAAAATGCTTTTCTTAAAAGTGGTCTGGTGGTGCTAGTTCTGAATAACTTTCACATGATGACTGTTTAATACTTGATCTACCTCTGACGTCCTCTACCACTAGACAAAAAAGTTCTGATATTCTTGAAGGATTCTTTTCTAGAGCCGGAGCTCTTTCCTTAATGTGAATCATCACCATCAAATATAGGTTTTTGTCAATTTAGATATCTGTTTGACAACTCTGCTTAAATAAAGAATATCAAAGACGGCCATGCCCAGCTCCTAGCTTCATATTAGTCTCATACACACACTTGCCCTGCTTTAGCCAGGAGTCCTAGATGTCCTAGAAGAGCATAGTATCTCTAAGCCTCAGTTTCCTCATCTATGAAATACAGTCGAAATTCTACAATGCTGTCATTTCGTAATATATTTGGATATTCACGACACCATGGCTTCCCTTCAAAAAAACTTCCAAACTGCTAGGCATTACTGAGGACACACATATACATTTAAATTATTGAGAATGAAATACTGAATTCTAAGAAATCTAGGGACTGAGGTGGGAAGAGAATTCTGGCAGTAAGCAGGCCCTTGCATTAACACTGGAGAGCTTTGGCTTGGCACTGACTTTCACAAGCAATTGAGAGATTGCTGAAGGCAATATGCAATATCCTAGGGTTACATACTATGTCTAACTATTAAGGTGAATTTACTTTCTTCTGGAACACCTGCACTAATCACTAGTATCGGGCAAAAGACAGCGAAAAGCTTTTCTTTGGTTTTTCTGGAAGGAAACAAATTTACCGCCTATAATTAGACTTGGGCAAAAACCCTTTGGGGTGCTTTCTTAGAATTGTTCTTTATTAGAGCACAGGCTACTTTTACTTAGAGGCTGAAAGGTACATATTTCAGTGCAATAACTACATTAAATTATTTTAATAATCTGTAGTAACTCATAACACAGTGTTGTGGTATAGTGACAGATATAAGGCTCTTTAGGGTCCGTGTGCACCTCATTTTTCAAGTGGAGCTGTATTTCATTGTTATTAGCATGCCCTTTTATTAACGGTTGCTGCAGCAAATATATTAACAATCAAAATAGAAGCTGGACAACCTGATGCCAGTGAAAGGCAGAAAACAGAGAACCATTCGGTGATTCAACATGTCAAGACGAGTGTGACTTTTTGAACCACACACAGCTGGCAGAACAAACCACCTTTTCGCATTGAAGCCCTGCTTGTTTCCGTTTGTCATTCAGTGCTGAAATTTATTATACATCCCTCGCAATATTTGCTCTGCTAGTCTCATTATTAAAAATCAGGAAAACATATCTACACCATATTAAATGGCACTTACCTCAGCCTTCAGAAAATATCTCCCCCAAACCTCTAACCATCAAAAACGGAATCAATCATGCCCTGTAGTTAGGTGAAATCAATAATATGAATATTTGCCATAGGTAGCAGGTAGTGCTCTCCAGAGAGAACTGTGATGGTCATGGGAGCTGTTTTAAAGAGTCCCAGCTTATATTATAAGGGCCACAGATATTCTAAGTGGAATTGAGATGTTTTGTAAAAGAAGGTGACTAATAGATGCTAATGTGGCTTAATCTCAGGTAGTGGCTTTCAGATAAATAAAATTCTTATAATACCCATTTTTATAGTTTAAGAAAACACCTTCTCCATAGTTACCCCATTTATCTTCTAAATCCTAGTTTGGGATTTGGAGTCCAGTGTCCATCTTTAGAGAGATCACATAGGGGGAAAATTCCCAAATGCTTAAGTATTTACCACTGGTCTTATTTTTTACAGAGAAAGAAGAGAAGTTTTATGAGGTGGTCTTTTAGGGGAAAGGCATAGAAGATGTGGATGATAGTATGTCAGACACCAGACAGTATTTTGAAAGCAATAGAGAAATAAATTGTCTATCATCCTGGTGCAACTTGCAAACAATTACATTAATTTGTTGGCTGAAAGAAAAAAAAATCACAATCTGTTACATTTCAGGAATCATATCCAAAGCAAAAATAACACCTTTCTAAATAGTTTTCATTTATTATTAAAACACATTACTAAATAGCTAGATGTTCATTTATTTAAATAAAAAATTAGCAGATTGACTGACTTTTCATTTTACCTCCAGATGGTCTGGTATCATGTAGATATGGCCTTAAGATGTTTTCAGTTAAGTGTTTTAGATGAATCACTAAAATGTTATGTGTGAAATAGTGGCACATTTCAAGAGCTGGCTTTGTAACAAAACAAATTTTGATCTTGGGCCTCTTCTTAGAAAAACTGATTCTTTTTAAAGCCATCACAAAAATGAAACAAAATCCAAATCTAAATGGTGACATTTAAACTTCCCGACATGTTACTATTGAAGTTTCTCTAATTTTTGGATTGAGATAAATCAAGAATGTCTATTAAGTACATAGGCACAGTTTTTATTTGGGGTGGGGGGTTGTTACCTTGGAAGGCAAAACAGTAGAAGCTAGGCTTTCCTGAAGGTTATGGGTTGTTCAACTCTCTTTTGAAATATTTGCCTTTTAAAAAAAAAAAAAACAAAAACAAAAAAACGTTTACAAGGATGAGACCTAATCACCTTTTTGTTTGTTAAGGCTCATTCTAGAAGTTTGGAGGTGTATTTTTGCAAGAATATTTTTGGGTTTACAAGTTCTGTCTTTGTTTCTCTGCCTGTGACTGGTAACTGTCTGTTGAATGAGTAAATTACAAATGTTTCTGAAATTGTTCTGTCTTACTCTGACTCTCTCAAGCAAAACAGGCAAATGTTCTCCATTTCTGTATGATCACGGGATATTTTAGTAACTTTTATGTCCTCCCTATAAATAGTGTTGCTCTTTGCCTTTCCTATTCATCTATAAGCACATTTGGGTTTCCAAAGGAGAGTTTTTCACAACTCCAAGATGTAAATTTCCCTCCAAGCAAATTAATTGTAAAAATCTTTGGATAGCTTCATTGGAATCTCATGATTATTTCCAGCATAAGCTGCTTAAGGCCAAATTCAGCCCTCCCATAACCAACACAAAATCATCACTGACAGTCACAGGAGTTTACATAAACGTGTAGGAAGGAATCTGGCCTTCTGTGAAGGATGGAAAGAAATTGTGGAGCATGAGTGTTTTAAGTTCTGAGTACTGTGGCTCGAGTTTCATCTTAAAGAAATCTGAAGGAAGTACAAGTTAGAATCTCTTATTTACCTGAGGCCTTAGAATAAGTCAGACTAGTTCCATTTCCTTTAATTCTAACCTCCTCCCTCTTCAGCAACTCTACAACTCTGAAGAAACAGATATTGCCAAGATTATGTTAAAGTATTTTATGAATGAATCTCCAGCTTTCACAGATATACTATCTTTAGGATCGCTGGTCAAAATTGCTTCTTTGATTTGTAATCTAAAGTTGTTTTTTGTTTTTTTTTTCTCATATGGCAACATCTTAATGGATCTAGAGGTGACCATTACCTAAATGAGAAGCACATCTAATTAGAAATCATTGCAAAATGGTTGCAAGCACTTTGAAAAAGAAAAATCTTGATGCATTTTAGACACTGAGAACCTGCACATGGTATATGCAAAGATTACTTGAGCTAGATGCTTGCAACTGTCTTTGACAAGGTCCAGTACTTTAATTGATTCACTGGTGAGATAATCTAGGTGAAGTCTTAAAATTCCATGGAGCTGAAATTTACTATTAACCTTTCAAAAATTTGCGATGTCATATCGAAACTCCAAAAGGAATGCAGAAGAATATAGTTCTTAAACTAGAGAATAAAATTGCAGAATATCGCAGTAAATTAACTTTAGGGATACTCTGAGAATGAGAGTACTACGCCCTTGGGGGATTTTAGAGACATTCAGTTATGCGTTTGGCCTCATAAAACCCTAGGGCTGTGATGATTACATGATAGAAACACCCTCTGTTAAGCATTACCAAGTGCACAGTCCGGATGATTTTCTTAGGAATGGGGGGGTGGGCAAAAACAAGGGTAAAGTTTCCTGTTTCTGAGGTTCACACATAAACTGCTGTGTTTTCAGTCAGATTTCCTAATAGCAAATGGGCTGTGACATTTCTTGGAGAATACTAATAATGCCAGGTCAGCAGATGGGTATTGTTGGAAAATAAAATCTAATTTTCAGTTAATTTTCTCCGATTGTATACCAGCTAGTGAGCTGCTTTCCATATTCAGAACTTTTAGGAAATTTATTATGTAATTAGATAACACTTAAGGCTCCTTCTAAGGAAGAAAAACTCTTATGTATTCATGTTTTCCACCCCATCCTCAAAAATATCCTTATTGTCTAAAATGTAGCTGCAAAATAACAGGTGCTTACTACAAGTTCATCCATTCATTCACTGTAATGAATTCCTCATAGGGAATGAGTGGGGTCTGCAACGCAAAAGGCGCCAAACATGGTGCAGGAAACAGAGGCTAGTTCCTGCTCTTATGTGAAAAAAAAATGTTTGATTTAGACACAGAGTGATCCAAGTCTGAGTCCTTGAATGGGCAGTCAAAGGTGGTGAGTAGAGATTTGTCTCTGCTTCTTAATAATACTTACATGGTGGTGGTATAATAATGACAACCTTTGGCAGAGAAAAGATTTGAGCATTCTATCCTGATCATATGCTCAGATTTTTTTAGAGAAGTCCCAGAAAGATGGGGAAAAAGTCAAAAGAGCCTTGTGGCTACTTCTTCCCTTCATCTAGAGGCAAAATCTGAACAATCCGAACATGGCTGATGTGCAGGGTTGACATGATGGACAGAGCAAAGAGTGAGGAGACAAGAGTCTAGGGTACCACTTCCCACTCCATGCCTGGCTTCCTGTAAGACTCTACGCTAGAGTTTCTGATTTCTCTAGGCAGGGACAATGTCGCCCAACAGAACAAACTTCTGATTAAATCAAATGCAATACATGATGAGCAGGGGCTTTGAAGACTGAGGGGACTGTGTATGGAGCCCGGGGGGCCCACAGAGCTGGGTGAAGACAGGGGACTTACTTCGGAGCAGGACCCTGCCAAAGAGGCTGTGATCCCTGTCCAGGGTGTTGCAGTTCCAGCGGTGCTGGCGGAACTGGTGCTGGCACTCGGCTGTCCACTCCGAGACACCCAGGCTAATGGCACGCATCACATCCGGGTGTCGGTGGCACAGCTGCCGCTGGCGGCTCACCAGGCCTGGCACATTGTCACACATCACTCTGGAGGAGCCACCTGTAGCTCTCATGTACCTGTAAAGGACCAACACAGAGGTGAGAGCAACGTGAACAGCAAGGCCTGGCTCAGTGTTCCCCAGGAGACTAAAGAGTTCAAAGCACTTTTCAAATATGAATTCCTTATCCTTTTGGTGGTATTAGAAAGCAAGGGTTATTTACTTTTGATTCAGTAGAGAAACAGGCAAGGCAGGCATGGAGAGTGACCTGGTAGAAGCCACGCCCAAAATGAAGTGATGACTGTCTCCTAGACATGAAGGCGGGTGGGGGGGGGCAGGTGACATTCTGGGCAGGTAGTAGAGGCAAGGACTGGGTCGGTTGGGTCGGGGAACTCAGTGACGGGGGAAGAAGCAATGTGTTTTGGGGAGAAGATGTCAAATACTTTTCCCAAGGAGGCGTAATGTGTCTGGACTTGGCTTCAGGGAGACCGACCTTTAGAAGCTCCTCGTTCCCACTTATTTGACATAATGTCTTAAAAACTGTCTGTATCTGTCTAATCAACACCTGCTGGTATCTGATGTTACACTCTCCTCACAGACATGCTGTTCTTTCCTTACTGAAAAGTCCTTTAAATATTTCCATTTTCTAGCTCTTTTTGGCTTTTACCAAAAAAAAAAAAAAAAAAAAGCCTTTGGAAGAAATTCTTTCTATTGTTATTAAGGACACTAAATGTTTGGAAGAATCAAACAGTGTTATAGCTCCATAAAGTACTTTTTGAAAAGAAACTTTAACAAAAAATTACATCATCATCTCTACCCAGATGTTCTCTATTAGTTGTGAAATGTTTAGAAAGGTACCTTTTATATAACCCAAGCTGCCATAGGTGTCTTTTGAAGCGATCAAACAAGGAGAATGTCTTTTTCTTGTATTTTCATTATTTTATATGATCATAAAATCGTTACAGCTGTGACTTCCAAAATATATATTTAAATGACAGCTGAGAGACAATGTGACAAAAAGCCTGAGCAATAAATAATGTTTATACACCCATGGAAACAGAAATAGTCATTTTATTGAAAAATGGTCAGTCGGATAAATCAATCTTTGATCCTGTGTCAGCAATGTCAAAGCTAAACGCCTTCCTGTTCAAAGCGGGCTTAGGAAGGGATTGAACCCCTCTTCCCATCAGCGCGTTGCCTTGCTCTTTGAAGAGCTCCAGTGTCTTCCTAAAAAGTTCCCTGCTCTAGTCTTTCTTTCTCTGAGACTCCTTACTTTTGCCGGATTCTTTAAAAAACAGCCCACGGGAACCGGTCTTTCTGAATCAGTATTTTAATATCTGTTCTGAAACTTTTAGGTGCAAGGAAGTTACAGGACTCTTAACTCCATCTCTTTCCAAGATCAGAAAATCGGGAGATGGGGAAGAGTTTCTGGATGGGGAGAGAATCTGCCTCTGGAACCGTTAATGTTCAACGTTCCACCACTGTGCAAAAATAAATAAATAAATCACAGATCAACGCACAAGGGAAAGTGGCAAAATTACTGCTTGGGGTGATGGTTTTGAACAGGGTAACATTTTAGAGACAGACCCCGGGGGCTGTAGCTTTGCATTAACGGCGATAGTCTCTACCTGGAGGCACCAACGTGTTCTTCCGCCCCACTAGGGCGAAGCATTAGGAATGTGGAAGGACGGGAAATAATACAAAATCACACGCTTTGGGCTCTGCAACTCTTGACTGCCTGCATTGGCCCGTCGGTTTATCTGGAGGCAGTTTTGGGAGGGCGGGAGGCGGGTGGGGGGGCGGTTGTGGTTTTCAAGGTGAATTTATACACACACACACACACACACACACACACACACACACACACGTCTGTGCTAGACCTGGCTAGCGCGTCTCTCAACAGGATAAGAAATTGGCTGATTTTGCTGTCGCTCAGCTGGATCCAAATAAACCAAACATCAGAGCTCTCATTTGAGGGGGGATGTGGTTTTTTTGGAGTTGTCAAAGCTGAAATGATCTGGGGAAAAGCGAAGGGGCTCGCGGTCTGCGATGAGGGAGCGCAGTAGCCAGGGTTCGGGCCAGAAACCGAGACTGCCGCGGCCGCGGGGACGCGCCGCCAGGAAGGGTCTCGGTGGCCGGTGCAGTCCCAACTCCCATCTCCAAAATCCCCCCGCGCCGGTGCGCGCGGACTTACCACCATGAAGAGCTGACCTCGGGGGTGAGCCAGGTCAAGAGCAGAGGGAGCCAGAGCCAGGTTCCACCGAGAGGGGCGTTCATATTAACCCCCTTGCGTCCGCATCAGGTCAGACTCCGTGTGCGGGCGCCATGCGTGCCCGGAGCAGAAGCGCTCAGCGCCGGGAGCGCCTCGTCACGGCAGCCTGCGCCTCGCCGCGCCCCCGCCCCCCGCTCGCGTCTGCGGCGAGTGGCGAGACTCGCTGATAAAGTTTCAAACGACGAGCCCGGCGAGCGATAAAGGCCAGCTCGGGCCGCCTCGCCCACAGCCCAATTCCCCAGGCGCGGCGAGCGCTGGCAGCCCGAAAGCTCTGCGCGCCTCCCGCGCGCCCCTGTCCTGCTCCCCGGCGGGCGCAGCCCAGGGAGGGGGCGCTGCGCCTGGCGGGGGTGGGGGAAGCGCAGGGTTTTATACCGCAGTGGAGGGAATGATGGCAAGAGATGTCTGGGGTGAGGTGAGGCGGGGAGGGAGGAACACCTCTGCGTGGCTTCGAGCACCCCCGGAGACAGGCGCCTTTAGGGAAGCTCGGAGCCAAAGAGCATCCGTGGGCTCGGGCCACAGGAGCGCGCGTTCCGGATAGGCGAGGCCACCCTCCGGCAAACATAAGTCCCCGAGCGGGCAGTGTGGAGAAATGAGGGGGAGGATAAGATTACTGTGTACAGGATAAAAGAATCCAGAGATGATTTTCACTCATTGCTTCGCTTCTCTCCCTGACGCTGAGAGGAAGAGCCAGCGTTTGTAAATTTGGAGCTGCCGTGTCTATGCGGGGCAAGGTTGAGGAGAGGGGGCCAGGCCTCAGGGTGCTGGACTTACATACAGAGCCCGCAGGGAGGAGACCGGGAAGAGGGTGTGTGTGGGGGGTCCATGACCCCTGGGACCTCACCTAACAGTTTCGGCCAAAGCGCCCAGGAAGGATGCAATTTTTATGCACATCCAGCTGCTCCCTGGCGCTGCCGAGCGCAAAAGGATCACGTAGGGAGGAATCGAGGCACCCAGGCGTCCGCGGGGCGTGTGCGCCCCGGCACTGGTTGCACCTCTCAGCGCCCGGGAGCTCAGGCTGCACGCCTTGTGGAAATAAAGGGACGCTGGGTCCTGGACCTGGGCCCCCGCAGAGCCAACAGACGGGGGCTCGGGCCCACGGGTGGAGCATCTTGAGCAGCAACTGGCTTGCAGCCCCGCCGTTTATCGCCGGAAAGGAAGGAAGACCAGGAACTCGCGGCGGCCGTGAACTGTTCCATTGCTCTTTTCCTGGGGTGGAGGGACGCGCCGCCCGCCCGGGGAGCGTGCCCTGGGGAATAGGGACTGCGTATGCTCGGGGGCGGGGGCGCCGACTTGCTCGGGGGCGGGGGCGCCGACTTGCTCGCTGGGCGTGGGGCGGGGGGCGTCCAGATAGGGAAGACGGGCTCTCCCCCGCCCACCCCTCAGGCCTAGACGGGCCAGAGCGTCAGCCCTCGCTGGACGCGAGCTCGGTAAGAGGCTGGACGGGGAGTAGCTCAGAGACGCCAAAAACCTGAAAGATGCTGTCATCGCCACCCCCTTCCCCCACGCCGGTCCCTGGCAGGTCCGGCCCCTCCCAGGCTGACCCAGATACATCCCCATTTGGGTCCGGAAAGGGAGGGGAGGGAAACAAGCACCGCGCCACCCACGACTCGGGAAGAGCAGGGCTCCCCGCCAGGGCCGCTCCGTATCGCTGGGCCGCGACCCAGGGGAAGTTCTGCTCGGTCTGTGCCGGGTGCGCGGGAGGGCGGGGGCCGGGGCGCGCTCCTGCTCGGAGTATCTGTGTATGCGGGTGGCGGGGGAGGTGGTGTTGGGGTGATAGCCGCCAAACGGCAACAAGTAGCTTATGTACCTCTATGCTTATGCTCACAAGTCTCCTTCCCTGATGAAGCAGAGGAATAAGCTAAACTTTATCTCCACCCTCCTTTGTCCCACGGTTTCTTGAAGTAAATCCAGACACTTGAGACGTGTAGAAGATGAGATGGTTGGCCTTGGAGAAACCATAGGTTGCCAAAATTTCACTTCTACCACTGATTAAAGTGGGGTATGGATGTGTATGCTGGGAAAGGTAGGCAGTTGCATGATTCTCTCATGGAGAATGAGAATTGAAACTATCTAAAAAACTCCAATTTAAAGTTCCACCCCTCTCAGCACATCGTGTCCTCACAGCTAAGTGGTGTTAGAAATACATGGAGTGTGACCATCAGCTTAGAGGCCCTTCCTCTCCGCCCAGGGAATTGAGTGGCCAGGAGACCTGCCCTTCAGTTGATGGTGAGGCCAATGGAATGACCTAAACCTGAAACGGACCTCCTGGAAAAGGAATGGACTATCCCCAAAGCTAATTAAATCCACTCCAAAAGACTTCATCCTAGGGCAGGAGGAGGGGGGCCACATGTCTTACAGAGAAGAAATCAGTTTTGGTGAAAGGCAAAAGGCTGAAAAAGTTCAAGAGAAGCTAAATCCAGATGTGAACAAAGGTCCACCCAAACACCCCTTCCTGACCTGTCTAGAGACAGTCTGGACCAGATGACTGGTCTCTTCCCAATCTGTGATTCCGTTTCCCTCCCATTCTCCACCCCTATTCACTTATGACCCATTACTTAGCCCCATACAACTTATCTTTTGCCAAAAATGTCTTTACTCCTTCCTCATCTGTACCTATTCTCTTGATGGATCCCTGCACTTTAAAGATAGAGCGTCCACTAGTAAACGTAGCTGTAAAATGCCCAAGAAAATCAGGAGGAAAGAAGTTGACAGCAAACCCACTTCTTTTGCAATAAAAACTACCATCCTAAAGAAGCGTTACTAAATACTGAAGTAAATTGCATATGACTTCAGCCTAGCTATAGAAGATTATGAGGTAAGGAAAGACAGTGTGCCTTTAGATTTATGAATGTAATACCTGATTTTTGATTTCTTCAATGAGACATACCAGAAATGACTGTAAAATTCATTTACAGTATACAAAACCCAAGTCTCTTTCTGGAGATTAATGTTAGTTTGCTTGTAACTTCAGTATAGCATTGTAGCCAAATGAGTCAGTCTATTTTCTTAGTTAGATCCATTGTTTGTCTAATCTCCCAGGGCAGAGAAAGAAAGAGAACTAATTTACTACCAAATCATCTCCACCCTTTAAAACTGGAGAGTTACTTCTTCAACCAGTCATTTGCCCTTCAGTCTGAACTGGCTTCTTTCTAAGGCAGTGACTCGTAATATAGCCACTCACTAACCAAAGGAAAACTTCTAATATCTGCCATTTAAATCTCAGTGTGCATTTAAATTAATGTACACCAAAGACTTTTGCTTCCAGCCATGAGAAAGTAACAGGTACCAACTTACTGTCCTACAGAAAAAAAACTGTAAAACTGGGTGAAACTTTTTGAGGCATATCTTTTCAGGTATTGGATAGTGGTAGCACATGGCTGTAATCCTTGAGAGGAGGAAAACACATGAGATTTGCTCTACAACTATTCATAATTGTCCTAGTTTTTCTGCTGAAAAGTCCTTGTTTTTGGGGGTGTAAGAAGATGGAACCCAAGCAAGGCAGTAGTCTCAGTTAAGAAGGGAGAGTATGGAGTTCGGGGTGTTGAAGCACCTAAAATTGGCAGGGTAGCATTTCTGAAAATAGGTATTTGTAAAAGGGGGACTTTACAAGTCTACATGGGAGATTTACCATGGATCCTTGGCTAAGAGCTGGGCTAAGTATAGAAATGACAAGATTCTTCAAAGCCTAGCAGAGACTGCCTGCTGCACGTCATCCACTGTTTAGAGACATTGGAGTTCCATCTCAGCAGGGTAAAGAGACCTCACTGAGCACTTCAGGAATTCTAGCTTCTAGTTGAGATGCTAGAAAGGTCATGCCTTAAAAGTAATAGTCAAGCCTTAGTGTAAAAATCATGCTTAGGACAAAATTCAAAATCTTATTTCCCTATATCACATGCTCTAACAAAGCATACAAACAAGCCAGCCAGATTTATAAGAACAAAAACATCCATTAAAAGAAGACAACATAATACAGACTTATTACAATGTATCATTAATAATAAAAAATTAATAGGCTGGATACAGTGGTATGTGCCTGTGGTCCCAGCTACTCGGGAGGCTGAGGTAGGAGTATAGCTTGAGCCCAGGAGTTTGAGTCCAGCCTGGCAACATAGAAAGACTGTCTCTTGAACAAAAAAAAAAATTAATAGAGAAGTGAAAAACCCAAAAAAGGTGACCCATACTCAAGAAAAAGCAGTCCACAGAGATCGATACTGAGATGGTCCAGATGTAGGAATTAGCGGGAAAGAAATTTTAAAATAGCTATTATAAATATATTCAATTTAAAGGAAAAGAGGATAAACAAATGAACAATGAACAAATAGATGGAGAATCTTAGTAGAGAAATGGAATCCATAAGAAACAAATGAAAATTCGGGGCCCAAGAAGTACAATTATCTAATTTGTAAAATTTTTACTTGTAAAAGTGTAAGTTATCTAATTTGAAGAATAGAGAGGGAAGATATATATTAAAAATTAAATAAATAAAACCTCAGAGATCTGTGGGACAATACCAATCAGCCTAATATATGTGTAAGTAGAGTTTCAGAAAGAAAAGAGAAAGAAAATAGGGCAAAAAATACTTTAGAAAGAATGTCCAAAATTTGTCCAATAATAGAGAACATAAATTTACAGCTCCAAGAAGGTCAGAAAATCCCAAAAAGAAAAATACAAAATGTGTCACACCTACACACATCAAGATCAAACTGTTTAAAACTGTAGATGAGGAAAAAAATCTCTAAAGCAACCTGAGGAAAAATATATATTACATACAGGAGAACAAGAATATGAATTACATTGGCTTTTCATCAGCAACAATGGAAGTCAGAAGATGGAATAGCTTTAAAATGTTAAAAGAAAAAAACAGTCTACAGTAGACATCTATAATCAGTGAAAACATCCTTTAAAAATAAAGTGGTGGTCTTCTTTTGTTTCTTCTTTTTCCCCTTACCTTGGGAATAAAGACTGAACTCCAAGAGTAAGGGCAAAATGGAAACAGAGCTGCCTGAATAAAGTCTAAAACCATCCTTAGATAGGATCAAGATGAACCACGGGTACTCTATTTACAATCCAAAAGAAAACTTGACCCTCGTTGGAGGACTATAACATCATTCAGGGTCTCCACAAATTTTCATTCACTATACCCAGT